AATTTCTTACCTGTAATTTTGTGCTCACTCTTCCATTAAAGTTCAAGTGCTACGTCACCGTTAGACAAATCAGTCTTTTGCGGTCATTGAGTAAAGGACAAAATATTTCTTTTTCTTTTTCAAATATCTTCTCGACAAGAGAAGATATTTGAAGAAAAGAAGAAATATTCTGTCCTTTACTCGATGACCGCAGATACGCGTACACGAGCGTGCAAAAAAGAGTGCATAACTGAGACAGATGAATTTTGTTTTGTCCACATACAGAACGTAATGGGGATCCAAAAATCCTGACAGAAGAAAAAAAAGAAGCGAAAACTTATAAACGACACTCGAAATAAAATGTGGAGTTCTGAGTGAGACCAAAATATTTATGATCGGCAAAAAAACAAAAAAAACGCAAGCACAAGCGTAAGTACAACACCTACGCGCTCCCTGACTCATCAAGCGGGGAAACCAAGGGTGAGAATCGGTCATAAGCACTGAGGACGAGCACATGCACTTATCAGTTTAAGAGGGAGAAAGAAAATTGCAAAGAAAAACATAGTAGATTGAAATTGAAACAGTGAGTTCGCAATCATACTTTTGCCTGTAAGTATAACGACCATGTTCAGCGGTTGTGTCTAAGTAATCTCTTGTCCGTAGGGAGCACGGTTCGCTCCGCGAACATCCAAGGCCGACTTGAGATCGATGGGGTCGAACCGAATGCACAGGGCCATAAGCTCGAAACCTGGCGCGGGGCTCTGGCGTGGCCTTATTTCGATTGAGTTACAAGTTGACACAAACCAAAGTTTGAGATGAAAAAGAGCTCGAAACAGCCAGATAGGCAGTGTATAAGAGGGCAGATAGGCAGTGTTTTCGCGGGTTCCGGAAACCCACTGCGCTGGGTTGGCGAACCCAAGCATGGTGACATGCGAACCAAGTCCCTTTGCTGAATATTATGTGGATTTTTATAAGCAGGGATGATTATTACTAGCAACACATACATTAGAAACACTTTGCACAATCTTTATAACTCGATAAATTTTAATTGGAATAATTGGATAAATTTTGGTAAGATTTTGGTAATTTTGGTAAAATTTTTATAATTTTATTAGGTTGTCCGGAAATTAATGTCCGTTTTGGTTTCCAATTGCAATAATTCATGCTTTTCATCCCTGAATAGCTTTCAAAGTATCATTCGATAGAGCAAAGCAAGCTGTACAAGATGACCATCTTGCTTTTGCAGCAGCTCTCATCCACCTCAAGTTTCGAGCCAAAAATTAAAAAGACTCAGGAGCCGGAAAAATCGAAACAAATCGTAACTCAGTTTATAAAAACCCTACAAAAATTCTTACTTGCCCACGTAAACACTATCCACATAAAACATCTATATACCCCTCTGGCGTATTTTTTCCTCTGTCAGAAATCAAGAAAAAGGAAATTTTCGTGCAATTTCCAAAGTAATGCTGTGCCCTCCCCACATAGGTAGTTGTATACTACAAACCTGTAGAAGTATAAACGTAAATTTTCAGCTCTCTACAAGCTTTAGTTCTCGTGAAATTTAAATTTTAGCTTGGATCACCTAACTGGGGAAAGCTATAATCGGTATTTCTCGAGAACTAAAGCTTGTAGAGGGGCGAAAATCTAAGTCTGTACTTCTACAGGCTTGTGGTATACAACTACCTATGTGGGGAGGGCACAGCATCACTTTGGCGAATGCACGAAAATTTCCGTTTTCTTGGTTTCTAACAGAGGGAAAAATACGGCAGAGGCGTATATTGATGTTTTATGTTGATAGAGTTTACGTGAGCAAACAAGAATTTTTGTAGGATTTTTTGAACTGAGTTACGTTTTTTTTTCGATTTTTCGGGTTGCTGATTTATTAGTTTTTGGCTCGAAACTCGAGGTGGATGAGAGCTGCTGCAAAAGCAAAGTGGTCATCTTGTAGAGCTTGTTTTGCTCTATCGAATGATACTTTGAAAGCTATTCAGGAATGAAAAGCGTATGAATTATTGCAATTGGAAACCAAAACGGGCATTAATTTCCGGACAACCTAATAAATAATTGGATAAATTTTGGTAAGATATTCCACTGAGATGTAGGACTGACTTGATGTCACTCACAATTTGGCACTCTCTAAAAAGTCGCAAACAAGCTTCATAACCGAGATTTGTTGCGTCGAATTGTAAATAGCCTAACTACTTGCCGATGTTTGCTAATCTTATATATAAAGCTGAATGTCTGCTTGTATGTCTGTATGTATGTATGTATGTGTGCGTGTACGTACGTTCCGAATAGAAAATTCCATTTCTGAACCTATCCGGACCAAACTTGGCACACATACACTTCGGGCCCCGGCGGGTGTCATAGGCTACTTTTCGTCATCGATCGTTATCGATTTTATCAATTTTTATCGTGTTGTGAAGGTTCGGCTTTCCTTGAATCTTGGCATTATTGTAAGCACTTTTCTGTGAGATTGCTAAGCTTCTTCTACGCCTTCTTCGGAGCCTGGCTGACTTTGTCTTTCCAGGCTCCGAAGAAGGCGTAGATCGCCGAAACGTCGACGTCAGCCAATAAAAGTTATCATAACAATCTTGGTCAAGCTCAGCAATCTCACAGAAACGCGATATTTATCGATTTTTTTGCAAAGTTGGAGCTACGAGGCGGAATTTGGCACAGAGGGTAATCGAGCATGCTGATTACTGAGAGTTGGCACAAGGGGGTAAGTGAGCATGGGGATTCCGCAGAATTATCGATTACTTCTATCAATTTTATCGATTTTTTTTGCAAAGTTTAAGCTACGGGGCTGGGATTTGGCACAGAGGGGAGGGTAATCGAGCATGCTGATTACGAATACAATATTAGTTTGGCGCTATTCGGCTATCCGAAATTTCTTTGTCGTAAAGCTTGCTCAAACTTCGGCGAGGCAATAACCCTACGTGCCGAAAACATATCACACTTTCTCCGCAGAACGTCTCCCCGTGTGGTTACGGTAGGTGTACGGTAGGAAGTCAAAATCATGAATTCGGCTGGAGTTTGGTCCAGAGAACTTATTCGATATGCTGATTACGAATTTCATACTCTCTGTATATTGGGACCTTTCATAGAGTTATGCTGGTTATACGGTATGCGGTCGAAAACAGAGATTTGCTTTGAACTTCGACTAGGGTGGCCATTTAATGCGCTGAACATGAATATCATGCTGATTTCGCAGGATAGTGCATTTTCTTGGGTTACGGTAAGTGTAGATGGGTCGATGTTTCGGATTTGCTCAAAACCCCACCTGTAACGGCTCACAAGTATACTGCTTATGAATATGATGCTTGCTCGCTGTCATAACGCATTAGTGAAGTTATGGTGAGTTGCAGGGTATGAATGGACATTTTTTTCGCTTTCGGGCCAATTAAGATCCCAGACATTCACGAAACGGGGAAACGGTCGTTTTGCATGGCGGTCTCTAGCGCCATCCTGATAACCTGTCCCAAATGTAACGCACGCGGTAAATCTCCCTTCCCTTTTTTTGCTTAGGCGAAAGCCGCCGAAGGGTGTATCGCGCGCGGCAGTGGTCCTATAAGGAAAGCATTACGGTCGTGGGAAACATTTATACCACACGAATTGCCATTATCGTGGGGATTAAAACGATATTCTTGGAACAGCGCTTTAGGTAATTATCTGCCAAGGTTTCAAGCAGGTTCATTCATAATTTTTACCTGCTGCCACGAGAAATGACTACGATATTCGTCATCAGCGGCTTGAATAACCCCCATACACCGAGTTTCAGCAAGACACACCACAAAAACATTTTGGAGCCCGGATAGTCGAATAGCGCCATCAGTTTCTGGAATCATCCTTTTTATCGATTTCATTGTTTTTGGCAAAGTTTGAGCTACGGGGCTGGGAGATTGATGAGAAGGTAGGTGAGCATACTGATTAACACAGCGGAAATAGGGAATTGCATGTAGAAGTGGGCACAGGGAAAGGTTGTACAGGGATAGGAATGAAACCTTTATCGTTTTTTGACAGGGCCGGGCGGAGCCGGGTAAGCCAGCTAGTGCTATCTTAAGATTTTTTGATACTGATGCGACTAGAGAGACCTCATATAGGAAGCATTGCGTCTGCCTGCATTCATGTTTATGTATTTGGTTGTCTATGTCTGTCCATGTTTCCTATGCTCGTTATTCTGCAAATCAATAAGAAAAAGTTTTTGCCCCCAATCCAATCAAGTCATCAGAGAAACGCTTTAGTGAATAGAAGAAAGGGGTTTCAATCAAAATCGTTTGTTTCTTAATTTCATGGAGTAAAAACTAACGGTAAGGGAACAAGTGGTAATCATGGTAATCACGTATTAGTTTACATGAGGTTAGAACTCTGTCGATGATCCCTTTGCAGATTTCAATGTAAGGAAAACGTACTCCCCTTACCGTTCGGGCGTGTCTAATATATTCCTTATGAGGTGAAAGCAACTCTGGAAAAGAAAGATCACTTGTACAAAAAAGAGTAGTAGAGCCCTCTTTTCGCATCCATTTTCACAAATATTATTGTCGACAGTCTGTTTGGATCCGAAAGAATACTCGAATGAAGCAGAGAATAGGGGAAATGCAAGATTTGTCGCAAAAGACATTGATTCATGTCATTCGTCCGCACATAAGAGTCCCCGAAAGCGTGTCAAGCATGTTGGTGCTTTTAATTTAGCCCGTGTGTGTGTCGAGAGATGAGAAAAGTAGTACACAGACTGGAGAGGCACATTGGTGACGTCATGGGTTGGCGAATCCTGCGGGGCATTTGTGCATACCGATCTTAACCAGTGGGTTCGCAAACTCACGAATCCACCAGATTCGCAAACTCAGTGGATTCCGGAACCCACTGGTTCATGAAAAATAAGGCCACTGGCCACTTGTACGAAGATAGGATAGGAGACAAAGTTTTCAATTCTCTATCTGTATATTAGGTCAACAACATGGTCGTTACCAGCTAGCAGGAAATCGTTGTGAGGAATGAGACCACTTTTTTTTACTTTTCAGACTTGTCAGCTGTTTCGTCGCATATTAAGCACTCCTCAGTTTTGGCTCGAGAAATGTGGGTATGACGGCGTTGCACTGCCTTCCTTACTCTGGAGAAAGTACTTCTATGAGGGATATGATACACCATATGATCCATGTGACACTGGAAAACCATCTGAGCTGTGTGCATTTGATTATAAAAAGATTTGCATTGGTCGGCCTTTCGATCGCAATCTCGCTTGTATTCTCAATAGCTCCTGCACAATAGATAGTTTGAGGAAGAAAGGAATGGTGTTTAGTAGCGACGGTGATGGGTAAGTTTCGCTAATTTTCTTGTCTTTTATATCTTACTGCTGCATTTGTTTTTCCCATTTTGCAGAATAATAATAGAGCAACCCCCAGAGGGCATTGACTCAGATGAGATCTCCATCTGTTTTGCAACCAGTTATGAATGGTGCAGCCGGTACTTTGAGATTGATTTGAACAAAATAGGTGTACAGGGCAAGTGAATAAATGTCATCTATACTAGTTGCTCCTCACTGCAGCTTGGTCAAAAATTGTAGTCGTTTTCTGTGAAGTGTTATGAATGTTTTCGAGGCAAACAGAGTCTACAGTGTAACTCTTTCTGTGAACCTCATTCGCGAACAGTGCATCGAAGATTTCGATGACTTGAGTTTTTGACATATTTACTACAAACATGCCTAGCGGTGCCAAAGCAGCGCCTCAGTACGAATTTACGATAACTTCATCGCGTTTACGGGATAATGGATGACTTTGAACACAACAGGTAATCCCGTGGAGATCCCCTAGGAAATCACACTAAGTAATCCGGCTTGTATAGTCATTTTCTGTCGCATCATACTCAAATACGTACGAACCTTCACAAAACAGAAAAAGCACAATATAGATATTTAGAATAGCATGGTATGATGCGTTCCTCTCCCCTCCTCAAACGGATGTATGTACATACAAGGCTAAGGTCCGCATGTATTGATATCCCCGCCGGAGAGGAGATCGCAAAGCTTCATATCCTTGAGCTCCAGATATCTGGATTTTACGCCGTATAGCCTATCCGTTAGTATTCTCACTCTCTCACTATGATCATAATGAACAAAGACAAGAAGCTGTACATGCCGCATTTTCCAGCTTTTTGTATGATCCTCTGATGATCCCCGGCGGCCGACCGTCTTTCTTCAAAGTCATTTTTTTTTCTCGAGGTTAAGCAAAACATTCTAAGTTGTGTCGATTATCCAACCCGGCAGTCTAAGCATGTTGCCGGTAAGAATAAATGTTTTGGAATCATGAAATCTGCAATGAATCACAAGTCAAAAGTTGGAGGTTTATCAAAAAATACGGTATTTCAAGAAATTATTTGTTCTTATTTAATATTTGTTGCACACAAGTGCGCCATTTCAATCATAATGTATTAAGTGTTGACTATAAAATCAAAAATAATTTAGCAGGATAGAAAAAAGACTTTGGAACAGAAATGGTAGGAAGAAGAACGTCAAAACATCAAGAAAGATCGACATATTTTAACCGCAACAATATGGCATCACGTAGTTTGGGTCCAATTTGGATAAAAGTGTGTGAAGGCTTGTATTTGACTGCTCCATGATTATAATTATCAGAATAGAATAATGTGATCCATGGAAATGGACCCATGCCTCCTTTTGCCAGCAAAATGATTTTCATTAACAAACAGCCAAGGTTTAATGGTGGGTATACTTTTTGACTTCACCAGACCAGCAAGCCAGAGTGAGCAATGATTCTAAGTGAATTGCAATAAGGGTTGTAGTGAATGGGTAACACATAAATGAGCGGGAAGAACCAAAATTTGATAATTGTTATCTGTGGAGAAGGCAATTATGCCCACTAATTTGCCAGCAGAAGATGCTCTTGCAATAATATTAGGTTGAACACTAAGTTTTGCAACTGGTCTCATAACTTCCCTCTCACTCAACATGGTGCACTCAAATTTTGCCACTGTGTTGGTTATTATGTAAGCTACAAGCGCAGCTGCTGTCCTACCAAATTCTGACGTCGCAGTGAGGGTTACGGTAGTTTTATGGTATAAAGGGGAAAAATTCAAAGTTTGACGGATTTGGCTAAAACTTGGCATAGGAGTGTTATCCGACATGCTGTTCACGAAAACGATAGTGAAATTCCGTGATAAGGGCTTTTTTGTAAGATTACTGTAGGTGTACGATATGGGGTCTCACCCTAAACAAGGAAAATGGCGTTGATTCAACGAATGAATATGATATTCGCGTTCGGCAGGTTAAATAACCTTACTATGTGAAGTCTCGGAGGAACTTGAGCTTCGGACTCTTTAGTCATTGACGGTCGTCCCCAGCAGCTCTTGCGTACATCAGCTCGTTCGATGAGGACGCCAAATCTCGACATGCCCCTATATTTTGTTTCTTTCTCAATAGACCAAAGGAGTCAACCTTCAGCAATAATTTGTGGACGAATCCGGATTACTGCGCATGGTCTAGGCTGCTAAAGGCTTTTTAGCTTAAAACCTCAAAAATTCTCAAATTTCACTAGTTTTCGAAAAACGCCTAAAACTTTTCTAGTTCGTGTTCAAAATTCGGACAATTTGTGCTCGCTTGTAGCTCACATTGCATTCTACATGATGCCAAAGTTTGAGTGCGCCATGTTGAATGAGAGTGAAGTTATGAAACAAGTTGCAAAACTTAGTGTTCAACCTAATAAAATAAGCAAAGCGGGGCTTGGTTGGTGAAGTAATATTGATCAACCTTGCCCAAATGATTCCGGGGAGAGTCCAATGACTCCGAAAAAATATCAAACAACTTCACTTTTTGTAATTCAGTTAGAAGTAAGTCAACAGCTATATTGATTAAAAAGAGAAGCAAATTGATTAGATCTAAACTAACGTGACGGCAATATTGGGTTACTAAGACATATGAAAGAAATTGATATCGAAAAAAAGAGCAAAACTGATGGTTGTACTTGGTATGCACGCCCTCCTATCTCCTTCACTGCATTGTGATTACGAATGTCTTTGCCAAAAACAACTTCTTGAGTACCATTCACAGTAGCTTGTCTACCAGTTCAGCTGAAGGAAAGAAAGTTACTCTAAGAAAGTGTTACTGACTAAACAGAAGTTGCTGCAAATCAACTTTCCTTAAATTGATTTGAAACTAAAGCCGCAGGTCGAACTGAGAATGCGAAGGTAAATGCTGTAACCATCTCGCTCCTCGGCGAAATAAATTGTTGTACGTCAGCAAAAATTGTCTTCTTTTGATCCTGTTATAATGCAAACTGAAAGAAGAGGAGCGTGGACTGGTAGGCATAAAAACCCAGTACTTGCTTGCAGAAATTCTTGATTCTTTCCGTAGTATTCGAAAGCAAAAAACAAGATCAAAAATTTTTTCTGCGATGTTCTAAGCTTTTTATATTAGTTCTGCAAGACGGATAGGGTAAAACGGGACGGTAGCTCTGGTCATAAATGAGGCAAGACGAAAGCTTTGTACAGTTTTTTGAGTATGGCAGAATTTTGAGAATGCATGGATCTGAAAATAGCATATAGTACATTATATGCTTTTTTGGTGATGACATCTATATGTTGAGAAAATTTGGCAACATACTTAGCACTGTTGGGTTAGTCCCCGGGCAGAGTTGAGCGATTTCGTCGTCGCGATTCAATCGCCACAAGACAGATATTACGAGTTCATTGTATGCCGATCTTCTTGCATTTCGGTTGTGATAGTTTTCCAACACGACTAATTGTGACTAACTATCACAACCGAAATGCAAGAAGATCGGCATGCAATGAACTCGTATCACTTGTCTTGTAGCGATTGAATCGCGACGGTCAAATTGCGTAAACTCTGCCCGAGGCCTTGCGAACGGTACAACTTTGGAAGGTTTTCGTTGACTTTGAAGAAAGAGAATGATTTTGAAGAAAAAATGATCGGCGGCCGAGGATCATTAGGGGATCATACAAAAAGCTGGAATATGCGGCTTGTACACTTTTCACTCCTGTTCAGTATGTTCATAGTGGAGGATTGTGGGAATACTTACGGATAGGCAGACAGCGTGTCTACATATCTGGAACTTCAGGATATGAAGCTTTTTTTGAGCTGCGATCCTCTCCCCGACGGGGATGTCAATGCATGCTGTTTGTCCTTGATGCTTAGCTCAAGAACTAAACGAACTTGATGAACTTTTCAAAAAAAGTTATATCGGTATGATCCGGAGGAATATCAAGATGTGAGTCGAAAGTGATTTGACGCTTTCGCGTACCTCCAAAATTCACAAACTGCTGAAAAAATTCGATCAATCCAGCATCATCAGAATCCATGCAGAATTTTTAACCTTAGGTGGCTCTGTATAAATAAAGCTAAATGTCTGTTCTGAGTGTCTGTGTGTCCTGTGAGTTACGTATGTTCTAAACAGAATTTTCGAACCGAAACCAGACCAAACTTGGCACACATACACTTCGTGCAGGACGGTGTAGTAGGCCACTTTTCCTCATTGATCAATGTCGATTTTATAGATTCTCATCGATTTTTTGTCAATTTTAACTACGGGGCTGTGGCACAGAGAGTGAGGGGAGGGGTAAGTGAGCATGCTGATTACGGATACTATATTACTTTTCACGTCGAGTACCTTTATATATCTTGTCGATTTTTGCAAAATTTGAGGTAGAAGACTGGGGGGCGAGTCCATATGCGAGTTTCCGCGCGTGATTTTTGATTGAAAGTCATGACAGGAGCGCACTAGCAAAGTCTCACTAATAACTATTGAAAATCAGACAGTCTCAACTGCCCCAGTACAAAGTCATTTATTAGAATCAGCGAGTCCACATGCTCCACCGCTAGAGTTTTGAGACGCCGCTTTGCAAATTCAATGAGATGGCAGCTATGCAATGATGACATTGTTGTGGAAGTTCTTGCAGTGCATCTTGAGTAACGAGGAGCATGAGTAACTTGTAGTGTGTTGAATCTGGTATAAGTTAAAGCCAGATATAACACACTGCGCCGCACTCAATCCACTTGATCCATTTCGCCATTGGTCATTTCACTGATTTATTCAATAGTTAAGTATTAGGGTGATCGGTAAAAAATGGGGCAGCTTGATTTTTATTAGATTTTGAGGTTTTTTGTTTCGATCAAAACAAGCAGGTGCAACGTAAACGTCGCTCATATAAGCGACCTTTGCTTATTATTCTGGCAAAGCGTCAACGCTCCTCTCCCACAACCCTACGCGTGGCGCCCTGAAGAACTCGAGCAGGGTTTTTTGAACATCGCTCATTCTTGCGCTGCCATACCATAAAGTTTTTCTGGGTAAAAAAACGAAATACCTGAAAAATCGCGATTTTTTTTGCGCAACAAAAACTAGTAAATCAAGTCTCAATCTGTATTTTCCGCAGATAGGAAAAATGTGAGGTAAGCTGCATATAGATGGATAGAGCGTAAAAGCTCTTTCAAATGGTACCTATAAAATATGCGTTCACCTGCAAAGTATTAAATAGCACGTA